AGTCCAGTTCTCTTATCATCATCCTACACCAAAAGACAGTTGCTACAGTAATTCCAGTTTACTTATGATTATCCAACACCAAATAAAGACCCCCAAATTAAAGCTCAGTGGCACAAGTACTGTCATTTAGAGCAGCGGAAAAGCAAGGCAGACAGACAGACAGGAATAATAGAGGGTCAGACCAGAAGGTGTACGTGCTTGTAACGCCCTCTTACCACCGGCAAATCTCAACAAGAAACAAAACAAAAAATACGACGAGGACGTGGACTCCGTCTGGACAATGACCGAAAGGAATTCCCAAAGTCTTACTCGACCCTCGGACCGCCTGTGTGTCCACTTCGTTGAGAGGTAAGTCAGGACAACGGGTGCCTCTTACGCAGCTGTTGTTATTTTTGGAGAGGAGAGAAGCACATCGATGCGTAGCGGTCATTCAGTGCAGCTAAAGTAAGACAGATCGGTACCTTGGAATTACAAAGTAATTTCTGTTACATTTTGGGCCGTTTTGAGTTACTAAGACAATAATGTTTGATAGGATAGAAGGAACAAACCACACCATGGTACCAGACCACCCGCCAACCACCCACTAATTGTCAAAGATTAAAAGTGTTACAAGAGAGCAACAAATATAAAACAGAAAGAGAAGAGATCAATAACAAATATATGTTTGATCATTGATAGGAAAGAAGAAGCAAACAAATCCAAAGAACCCGCCAACCACTCGCAAAAGAGGGAATGAATAAATAAGGATCTACCACACGCCCACTCTAACAACCCGCCATATCAGTCCAGAAAAGGGGAAAACCACAGGGCAAATCTCACGCAAGGCCAAGGGGGCTCTCGTAGAGGTCAAGGTGTTTGCCTCTCATCCAAAGGTCCCGGGTTCGAATCCAGGCAGACATCGAAAAATTTTCTTCTCTAAAATTATTGTCTCTTTTCACCTTCTTTCCCGCTTCCTATCAATGTTCTGTCGTCTGCTTTCGTCTCCACTTTCTGCCCCCACCCCCTCACCTCCTGTGCCCCCTCCACTGGGCTCCTGATTCTTTCCTCAGCCTTTCTACTGTTACTAATTGGCTCCTTCTTACCGATGTCTTTCAGTGACACCCCTGGCCTTCTAGTAGGAAAGATCTACACCTAGCCTTCTCGGACAAGGGCAAAAAATCTCGGAGGTCCCGGGTGCAAATTGGGCACGTCAAAGATCTCTTGGTGGTCTAAAATCGATAAGAGTAGACTTCGGTCGCCACCCGGGCAAAATTCAAAATTTCCCACCAACTGAAAAAGTTTAATGTGTCCCGCGCGTTCATAATGACCTTATACAGTTGCGAGCGCCGTAAAACACTTACAAAAAAGAAAAAAGAAGGCAAACGATCTACAACACGGAGGAATTACTTGACCGCTTTGTCGCCAAGAGTGCGGTTTTCGTTTTCGAGAAGTTCGTTATATTATTTTTTCCCCCTGACTTCAGAAATGGGAGAAGTTGAAAGGGGGGGAGGGGGGTAAGAGGAATAGGGGGGAATGGGGGGGGGGGGGGGAGGTATAAGAGTCGGCGTGCAAGCCGACGTTAGGGGTAAGGGTGGGGGTCGAGGGGTGTCCCTTTGCCTAAAACTTGACCTGTTCAGATTTTTGCTTGTCGGCCGTTAAACAAAACAAACAAATTAAATGGAGGAACAAACAGTGAAAGTAAACACAGAAGGACCCTCATTTCGGAAATCTGAATGCACACATACGCGACAGTTCGTTGAAGATTTTCTCCGGGGAAGCAAAGCGGTAGAGGGACGCGACAGTGTCAGAAACGGGCGTAGAGCAGAGGCCACTCACCTCTCTCTCTCTCTCTCTCTCTCTCTCTCTCT